AGCCGATCGGCGCAAGGTGAACCCCGCATGCGCACCACGAAGAGGAAGGCAGGAGAAGAGGGGTTCAGGGCTCATGCATTTGCTCCAGGCGACACCTCCTTTAGGCCCCCCCAAAGGCTCCAGGCGACATGGATAATTTGAAAAGGGTTTTAGGGTATATTATACTACAATCAAAACAAGGAAGACCCCAGAAATAGTATGGGTTTAGGGTTTAGGGTTTAGGGTTTAGGGTTTAGGGGTTTAGGGCCTATGGTCTGGAGCTCAACCTTGGGAATCGGTTGGCTAGGGTGTAGTCTTCGTTGTCGGGATTTGGGGATGCATGTAAGGTCTGTAGCAAGGCCTTACGTCCAGGGTTGAGGGTTTTATTAGGAATTGTACTTCGGGTTTGTTGTCTATGATCCGATCTTGGGCTATGTAGTTTGAGTTTAGGGCTTGCGGTTGCAGCTGCAGGCTTTACGCCAAACCCTAAACCCTAAACGCCCTAAACCCTAAACCCTAAAGCCCTAACACCCTAAACCCTAAAACCCCATCACAGTTCAGACTCATGCATCTCCCGTCGTCGTCGTCGCAGAGTGTCATGTAGGGGCCTAAATAATTACACACATATATATATATACACACTATTTTGGGGGTTCCTTATTATAGGTATAGTATTATGGGCCCCAAAACCCTATTCTGATTATTAAGGCTCCTACATAAGGTTTAGAGTTTATTGCTGGGGGTCTGGTGTTTACTTGCAGTCCTACTCGCGGTCGTATTCGGCATCGTCGTCCACTGCGCAGCGCTTGTGAGTGTAGGGTTTGGTCCTACAGGACCTGACGGTCAGCAAGGGTCTCTTTGCCAGATGGGTTAGAGCATGTTTTCTTTTTGCCAATTGGGGTTACACTGCCTTCACCTTGCATGCGAAGCAAGTCCTGTGAATCCCAGAACCGCAAGAACGCAAAGTCTGAAAACACGCTAGCATTGTAAGCCCTGAGCGCCTAACCCTAAACCGTCCTAAACCCCTAAACCCTAAACCCTAAACCCTAAACCCTAAACCCGAAACCCCAAAACCCAAAGAGCTCTAAGACCCTCAACTCCAAAATCAAACAACCCCCCAGAACCCGAAACACCGCCACAAACTTTAAACACCCGCAAGCTCTAAACCCTGAAGCCCTAAACCCTAAACCCTAAACCCTAAACCCTAAACCCTAAACCCTAAACCCTAAACCCTAAACCCTGAAGCCCTAGAGCCCTAACCCTAAACCCGAACACCCTAAACCCTGAAGCCCGAAAGCCCCAAAGAAAGCCCTAAGCCCCAGAATCTTAAAACCCCAAAGCCCTGAAGCCTTAAACCCGAAGCCCAAAGAGCCCTAAACCCTAACCCCCAAAACCTATAACCCCAAAACACCCCCCCCAAGCCCTAAACCCTATACCCAAAGAGCCCTAAACCCCAAACCCCAAAACCTTAAAGCCCTAAACCCTAAACCCAAAGTGCACTAAACCCAAAGAGCCCTAAACCCCCAAACCCGAAAAAAACCACAAAAAGCACACCCAAAAGAGCCCCAAACCCGAAAAACTTTGATCCCTCAGGCAGATGGATCGGAAGTCAAGTGGGAAGTGAAGTCAGATGGCCCCGCGAGTCCCTAGTTGAGGGGTTTCGGGTTGAGGGTTGAGGGTTTAGGGTTTTGGGGTTTAGGCTTGAAGGTTTGTCTGGGGTTGACCAGTTTAGGCTTTTGGGCTTAAGGCTTAGGGCTTAGTTTTTAGGGCTTGGGGTGTGCCGGGTAGAGCTCATCGCGGCTGTGTGCCGGTTAACATCAGTCTCTTGAAGCCGCTACTCACACAATGGCTTTGACTGCGCGCGTTCGGCCAGCAAATGGGGTTTAGGGTTTAGGGTTTAAGGTGTAGGGTTCAGGGTTTAGGGTTTAGGGTTCAGGGTTTAGGGTTTAACTTTTGAAACCTCAGAGCAGTAGGGTATCAGTGCTGCGGAACGCGTGCTTTCGAGGCGTTTGCGTTTCTGCTCAAGCGGAATTTCAACGGCTCGGCAAAGGCCGGAACCTGGCGGGTGATCCTGCTAGGCCCCCGGAGACTCCAATATCCTTTGCTTAAGCAAGAGTTCTCAATGTAAGCACAAGCATATACACGGTTTAGGGTTTAGGGTTTAGGGTCTAGGGTTTAGGATTTAGGGTTTAGGGTTTAGGGCATCTTAATGTATCTTAACCTACCAAAACCTACTTTTTTGTAGGCTCTTATTCTCAACCCTAGTATGGAGTTCACCGACACACTACAAAAAAGTAGGGTTTGGTAGGTTAAGGTAGGCATAAGCAGATACCCATCACTATATATAATAAGGGATAAAGTAGCGTTTCTGAGCAGCAGCCTATGATCAAGGTATTTTCCCGAAAGTCAGTGTTTAATAGGAGGGCGCTGCTGAGTGAGGGATATTGGAGTCTTCGGGCTTTGCCCAATTTGTTTTCTATTTTCCATATGACCCAGACCCCCGGGAGGAGCTAGAAAGCAGAGTCCCTAATTTGGGACCCAGACTACTAAAGGTTACTAAAGGGTACTGTATAAGAACCCCCTTAAGGGTTCTATTTTCTGGATCCTCCTGGTGGTCTGAGGACGACAGCCTACCGATCTGTAGGATTCTGTAGCCGGTCTGATTGGGCCTACACTTCCTTGGCCTCAGAGACAAGCTCTGTTAGTTGCAAAGTACTGAAAGCGTAATTAACCCTAAGCCCGAAATGTTACGTAATCCCTGTTTCAGAACTGAGATCTTCGTCTATAGGGTGTAGATGGGAAGTTTCGGGTGCATGGGCTTGTTTGTGAGTGCACTGTGGAGAGGCCCACCCTAGTGAGGTCTGCTGAGCGTCCTCCGGTGCGTCGCTCCCAGAGGGAGGAGAAGCCGCTTTTCAGTCCATGCCTTTCGATTCAGCCAACGCTTTTAAACCTGGGGAGGCTTTGAACTGAAGTTCACAGTTCGGCATTTAGGGTTCAAGGTTTCCTCAATCCCCTATACCCAAAGCCCTTCGGTGTTTTGAGTGTCTTATTTCGGAACTCCAACTCAGGATCTATCTCAGGATCTAGGCCGCCGTGAGATGAACAAAGTACCCACGGTTTAGGGCTCAGGGTTTAGGGTTCAGGCTTTAGGGTTTCGGGTTTAGGGAAAGCCTAAACCCCCCATAGTTGTGCGGTTTTGCTGTTGGCAAGTGTATGCGCGGCTCCTTAGTGAACCTTGGTGGGTGTATATTTCGGGTTTTGATTCAGGCATACCAGGAAGAAAACCCTGCTTCAGCAATGTAGCAGTATATGAAAAGCCTCAACCTTAAGCCCTAAGCCCAAACAGCTGACCTCGTTGCACAGGGGCCTTAGTCCTTAGACTAGGGTTTGGAGATTATGCTACCCCAGGACGGGCGGGTGGGATCGGAAGATGAGTTCGCGGCGTCCGCCGAAAAGGTCCACCTGAACCCCGAACCCGAAACCGAAGCCCTACACCCTAAACTTGGGCCCTAAACCCTAAACCCTAAGCCATAAACTCTAAGCCCTAAGCCCTAAACGCTCAACCCTAAGATTTCTGAGGCTCAACCCGCAGGCAGGAAATAGGGCTCATAGGGGATACCTGAACCCCATAACACACACACACATGCACCTTGTTCTAATGTTCCTTGTTAGCACTGCCAGCACTTCCTTGTATAAGACCTGACAAAGCTGCGGTATTCAAACCTAACGTGTTTAGGGATGTGAATCAAGACATGGTTCTATTGAGAGCTGGCCACGTTGAGAAGACGGATCTTTACAAGGTCGAAAGTTGCCTAGCCCGAGTCTTGGGGTTGACCTACAGGTTTTCAAGGCGCAGGAGATCTTAACTAGAGCTGATGACTTCTGTTGATGTGCCTGTCACTGTTCCATCGAAAGCCCTATGCCGAAACTCAAGTCTGGGGCCGCCGGGCAGGAGGATCGGGACAAGGGCAAGGCGGTGAAGTACCACCGCATGCGAGATGCCGGACAGCTTCCGGATTTCGTGGTGAACTTGATCGCAGACCAGAGCAAGCAGGCGACTTCCAAGAGAGCCTTCCAGACGAGAGCCATCAACCGCCTGTCTACCAGGCATGCCGACGGCACGATGAACCTGAGCCTCAAGGACGGGCTGTTCGCCGAGGCTCAGGCAATCGACAGCAACCACTTTCACAAGGCGGCCCCCATCCTCAACCCCGAAACCGTAGACCCTAAACCCTAAACACCGAAACCCTAGACCCTAAATCCCTAAACCCTCGACCCTAAACCCTAAACCCCGAAACTTTAGACCCTAGACCCTAAACCCCGAAACCCTAGA